ACTAAACGACTAAACAACAACAACCTCAAGGCCGTACCAGCCATTACACAGAGTGAGGCACACACTTCAGGGGCCTGTATGGTGCAGTGATTAGAGTGTCCGGCCGACATGGGAGACCCGGGTTCAAATCCCTTTGAGCTCCTTGGAGAAAAAGGGGCTATAAATGCAACGAATAAATAATAATAAATAAATGGCGAGAGGCAAAGCAGCAGCGACTTGCCCCATACATATGGACCATGGCCATGCCCTCAGTTGGAGGTCAAAAGTTGTGCCTACCTCACCTCACACCCCCTAAGCTAGCTGGCTACTCTAGGAACATGTCCTGTCACCACAAGTTTGAAGTAAGTTTTAAGATTTTGTCTTCAAAATGCATCTGATACCATTTTATCTTTTACCTCAGGCATCAAAATATCCTGGGTGGACCATCCCAGTCTAATGTACCTTGTAAGGTTGTTTGGGGGATAAAATGGGGTAGAGAACTGTGTATGCCAGCCTTGGAGGGGGTGTGGCATGTAAGTGTGATAAATAAGGCCGACACCACCCACACTGCCATTTCTGCTCTAGACTGGTTTGGGTTTCCACTCTTAACTTCCAGTGCAGACTAGTCACTAGGCTTTCTCTAGGAGAGATTTGAATGACTCCTTTCATGGAGAAGCTTGACCACTAATCGCTCTCCATTTTTAGCAGGGATTTCAGGCTGTGTGGGTCTCTGGGCATTTCCTATCTCTGTGGCTATGTGTGGCAATCAATTTTTATCACAAGACGACTGTGCTAGCTGGACCCCCTCTTTGTAAACTGGCCTTCCGCAGCCTAGTGCCTTTCCCTACGTTTTGGACTACAGTTCCCACCAGGTTGCGGGGAGGCCTTTTTAAATAAGAGGAGGGTGTTTGTTTGTTGTATGCGCAAGAGAACATTTTGCTGTGTTCGTTTTTTAAGCTAAGAGAGGGAATCAGGCAGGTTTTTCCACCGAACAATTTTCTTCCCATCCTATGTATAGAGTGAGGAGTGGATAAGTCAATTCATGGAATCATCGAGTTGGAAGGGACCCCCAAAGGTAATCCAGTCCAACCCACTGTTATGCAAGAATCACTGACAGATGGTCATCCAACCTCTGTTTAAAAACCTCCGAGGAAGGAGAGTTTGCCACTTTCCAAGATCATCTGTTTCACTGTTGACAGCTCTTCCCATCAGAAACTCCATCTTAAGGTTTAAATTTACTCCCTAAGAGGGATCCTTTTAACAAGTGCATTTTTTACTCCTCTTCAGCTTTTAAGCGGAAGGGGGTGTAGAGGCAGGGGGACAAGGCTGCCAGGGAGCAGGACTGGACTATTTTATTTTATTTTTACTTGTTGCTGGGTTTGCCCTCATCTATTCCACATTAGGGACCTGGGTCCTCTGAGATGGAAAAGAATGCTGTCAACAAGGGTGGAGAGGGAATAGGGTAGCGCTGGCATGGAAACCACCTTCCCTGCCCTCGCAACAGGAACCCCCATGTGGCCGGCAAGAGGGCCTGACGCTAATGGCCTGAGATGGCTAAGAATATTTGGGTGCTTCCAGATTGGGCTTGGATTTGCAAGGGAGACTGAGATGTTGCAAGCAGCCAGTTAGTTTTGCAACAGGTGTTTGTTTGTGTGTGTCCCCCCCCCCCGAAAGGATTTGTCTGGATTAAGCAGGTGGGGGATACAGGCTGGCATTTTGATGCCAACAATGTTGTCTGGACGTTGCAAAACACTTCCATTCATTTAGAGCTCCCTTCCCACAAGAAGCACGCTTTATGGTTATGACTGCCCAGAACTGGAGGAGCAGAGTGGTGTTCTTGTCCCTTTCGTTCCATCCTCCCTCTAAGCCTAAACCCTTTGAAACAGACCTTGCCTGGTAAGCTACAGGGGGGGGTGAGGGTGAGGGTTAGGCAGTAAGTTCTTCTCATATGGAAGGAGTGGTACTGCCTTGTTGTTATTATTATTTGGTTGGTTTTGTTAATTATAAAAATATATTTTCAAAAATGGAGAGTAAATATAAGGAAAGAAAATGATATATGGAACAACATAGCAAAACAAGCAAAATACAAATGAATAAATTAAAGAGAAAATATTGTCATTTACATTGTTATTCCAGAAATGTAAAAACAAGGCCCACCTCTCAGTAAGTTTGTTTTCCCCATTGCTAAGTATTGCGTTGCTCTCATTTGTAAGTTTTATCATTAAGACCATTAAATGTATTTTAACAGTGTGTCTGAACATAGCCAGGTGAATTTTGCCTGTTTTCTTGTTTGTTTGCAGGGGAGGGGGGTTTCTGAGGAGGTGGCATCCTGCCTGTTTTGGGGGGAGGGAGGGTTGTCTAACGTTGTTTGCTTGGGGGAGAGACTGTTTTGGCCTTTTTGTGGATAGTTTGTGGATAGTTTTACTCAATTCCATGAGCAAGCTTTTGTCTTTGTGACTTGGGAGGTCCCCACAGCCGCCATTTTGTGCTGGTGCCCAGGGCGGTTTTTGCTTTTGCCAAATGCACACCCCAGAAAGGATGGGGAACCCATGGTATATTCTGTTACATGCCCTGAGATTTCCTGCCGTTTGCTTGAAGTGATGCTAGAGGAATTGCCAGATGATTTTGCAAACATCCTCTCTTGTTTCTTTCCCCTTCCATCTTGGTATATTTTTATCAGGCTGTTGCAGTGGAAGGGTGCAGGGCCAATACTCCATTGATGCAGTTGAAACACCTGCAGGTTTTGTTTCCTCTTCTCTTTGAACTGTTTCCATCCTGCTAAATGAACTTGTAACTCAGAACTGGTGCCTGAGCTTGCACATTTCCTCCTCCCTCCTAGTCCATTTTCCTTCTGTGATGTGTCTCTTTGGAATATAAGCCTGAGTACAGGAACCTTCTTGATTTAGTGAGCTGTAAGTCACTGTAGAAGTGGCTAAAGAGTGGGGTAAAAGTTCTTTAAATAATTAGAAGGATAAGGTGGCCTGCTTTTCCCTTCCGTTTGCAATAAGGAGGTGTGCTTTCAAGGGTTCCCGGAGGGTGGAATGAAGCATTTGTGCAAACTGGGTGGAGATTCTGTGCAGCCACTGCGGAGATGCTTGTTATCCGTAGAATAAACCTTGTTGTTTCGCATTTATGGTGTCTTCTTCTCGCAAATGGCAATATTTCAGGAGTGGTTTGCCTAAGGCCACTCAGTGACTGCTTCATGGCTGAGATGAGATTGGCAAGAAGGCCCTTGCAGATCCTTGAAAAGGTCAGCAGGCCTAGAGAGGAAGCGGAGGCATCTCAGCTCCTTCTGGTGGAGCCCTAAGGTCCTTGCTGCCTCCTGGTGTAAATTTGCATTCTTCAAAACAAACAAACCCCAATCAGCCAGGGAGCCACCCTGCATGTTGCTGAATTACAGTTCTTAGTCACTGGCCCTGCTGTCCAGGGCTGATGGGAGTTCAGAGTCCAACAGCATCTAGAAGGGTCCAGGTTAGCCACCGCTGCCTTGTAGGTTCACTGTTAGGACAAACAAGAAGCAGCAGTGCTGATTGCTCTGAGCTGGGGGTGGGTGGGCTCAGGCCAGGAAATAAATCCAACATCAAGCACAATCCGCACAGATCTGCCCACACATCCTTGGCGTCCGGGACTGTGTCTGTGCTGGAGCCAGCAATAAAATTCCAGCACCCAGCGCGACATCCTGGGGCTTAGCAATTCAGGGTGGTCATTGTGGTCTCTCTGTGTGTTTGTGTGTGACCTCAGAGCCCCACCTTTCTGAGTGGGCAGCAATGTTTCCGTTGCTTATCAGACGGGAATCCTAACGTGTCTGTGTGATGTGCCTGTCCATGAAATGGGAAGGCTGACTCAGCAAGCCGGCGAGTCCTGTGCATTTCCTGCCTAAGGCTTAGCTGCCGACTCAGCTGTAGGTTGAGCGGTTCGGAAACAAAGAGCAGCAACAAACTGCAAAGCTTTTGCTGGAGTTTGCTGGTCAGAGGAGAAGGTGTGCGGCGGAATTGGAGACGTAAAAAAGCCCTGCAGGATCAGACGAAAGGCCCATTTAGTCCAGTATTCTTTCTCATAGTGCCTGACCAGATACCCATTAGGGGAAACCTGCAAGTAGGATTCGAGCACATAAGCATCCTGGGATTTAGTTGATGGGCCTGGTAAAAGTAGTGGGAGTTTCAACTTTCAATTGTAAAGCCTTCTAATGCCCTGCTTCTAACCTGCTTCAAATTGGGTCTAGCCCATAGCAGGGATGGGGAACCTGTGGCCCCCCAGGTGTTGCTAGATTCTAACACCCACCCATTAGCCTGGACCAGCAAGACCAATGGTAAGGAAGGGTGGGAGTTGTAGTCCAACAGCATCTGGAATTCTGGATTTTTTAATGGTATAATTTGGGGCAGGGGGGGCACTTGGGAGGACTTCACCCCAACTGACATCTCAGGCGGGTGAGAACTGAGCAGCGTCTCTGCTTCAGATTGCTGTTGGCAACCTGGCCATGGGAGACCTGGGTCCCAGGAGAGTAGAAAGCAGCAGTGGAACAAGCAAAATATGTTTGCCCTTACGACACAGCTGTCTTGTGTGAATGTGGCTGCAGAAGACAGCAGCATTCTGCTGGAACCTGGCTTCCCAATTCACATTCAAAGGCCCGTCTGGTCAGGCAGAATTAAAAACTCAAAACAAGTAGAAGAATCCCTTTTAATTGCACCTTTTGAAATTATAGACTTCTCCTTCTCTCTCTCTCTCTCTCTCTCTCTCTCTCTCTCTCTCTCTCTCTTAAAAAGAAAATGCATTCTTGCCTGATTCCCAAGCTCAGTGCAAGCATCTCCTTTGTGAATTTAGGATCAAAGTATCTCGTGGGTTAAAAGCTGGACCGTTCCAATTTTTTTTCCTCAATTGACTGCACAAGCCACCTTGGATTCTCCTGAATGGTTTAGCCGAGGTGGGGGGGGGAGGGGAGAGGACAGGAAAGAGGGAGGGGGGAAGCGGAGCAAGAGAAAGATGTCACAATCTCTAATCTATCTGTCATTTTTATTTTTCAGCAGCCAGAGAGGAGCTCCCGACTAGAACAATGCTGGAGAGGAAGGGAGGGGAGAGGGCCGGAGTGGCAGCCCAAGTCTGAAAACAGGTGAACAGCAGTGGCAGCAGCAGCAGCGGAGGAAGAGTGGAGGGGAAGGAAGAGATTTGTCACCGCTGCTGCGGGGGAGGCGAGCCAGCCCCACCGGGAAGAGCCTCCTCCTCCTCTCGGCTGCGCGGAGGTGGATCCTGGCTGGGCAGCAGCTGAGCCATGGCTACGAATTTCAACGACATTGTCAAACAGGGATACGTGAAAATGAAGAGCAGGAAATTGGGGGTAAGTGCCGGCAGATACCGCCTTGTTGTTTCCGAGTGGGCTGTGGCTGGTTGGCGTCCTTTGTAGGCATGCGGGCAGGTGCAAATTGCGCAAAAAAACCCTGGTGCTTTTGTGTGGAAGAATTCTGGCTAGAGCAGCATAGCTCTCTCTCTCTCTGCCTCTCCTCTAGGCATCCCTCCTGCATGGACCTTCCTCCCAACAGGCTCTGCCTGAGTCCTGGCAACAGAGGTGCCAATTCCTGGTCATTTCTGGCATTGCCTTGGTGGACGTGGCATCCCCAGAGTTGATGGATTGGGTGGGTTTTGCAAGGGCTTTGGGTGGGTGGTGGTCTGCATTTTGTGCCATGGGGATTTCCTTGACAGCTGGTTGCAGATCTTGAAGCCGATAAAAGAAAGAGCAACTCTTTGCCTTTGTGTGCGTGTGAATATAGTACGGATTGACTCTGCCTGGCTACAGTGGACAGGTTGTGTTCTCCTGTTTCAGATGCTTCTGTGGCACTCCCTTCCCCAGAGACTCCTCTGAGCCTGTGGCTGAGCAGCTTATGCAAGTGCAGTTAGAATTCTTTTTCTCTCAGCTGGGTTTTGGTCGCTGGGCAAAATCAGCACAATCAGCAGCAGGGCTTCATCATTTATTTTTTGCTTTGATTGTTTTCGGTGTTTTTTGTTATTGTTTTTAAGCTGTGTGATTTTAGCTGACAATTTCACACACATTTTTAACCGTTTCGCTCCTGCCTTTGGAAAGAGGAGGGCTAGGATTCAGCAGGGGTGGGGAGAGGGAAATGGAAAGAGGCACTGAGGTTTTCCTCGTTCCATCTGGACTACTTAGCTGCAGAGTCATGTTGTGGATACTTTCTCCGTGAGTACCTCTGGCCCATATGAGGAGGACCAACTCGGACACTGGGTCTGGCTCCTCCTTTGAGCACAGCCACCCCCAGCAAGATTTCTCTCCCCTTCTCTCAAAGGTTCTTGCTGCAGACCTAGACTTGCTCCAGGCACAGTTGCATCTATGGATCTATGGATCTTCTAGGGTGTGTCTTTCCTGGGCCTCTGAGATATCCCTGCTTGCAACAGGGGCATCTCGAACACGGAGCAAGCATTGATCGCCCCTTTCTCTTTTCCAGTCGTCTTCTATCGGCAGGGTGATTAAACTCCACGCTAGAGATTTCTGGATTGCACATAAAAGAAATCCACATTTCCTCCTTGGAATAAATATTTTCTGAAGGGGCATTGAACTGATCCTCTGTATGCAACATGAAGGGATTTCTTTACTTGGATTTTGAAATATGGTTACGAGAAGGATTCTTTTGAAGCACCTTTCTCCAGCCTTGGGTCCCCAGATGTTGTGCGCATCCTCTCATCCCTGACCGCTGGCATGATGGGAGTTGGTACCCAACAACATCTGTAGAGACCAAGGCTGGGGAGAAGACTGCAAGGATGCAGAAAGCCTGGGAGTGGATTTCCAAAGGACAGAAGTTGTTGGACAGGAGGCACCTGGGTTCGGTGGCCTTGGGCAAGCCTCTCTGTTTCAAGTTTTCCATCTCTCGTTTTGGCAGCCTACAACTGAAGGTTATTGTGAGGGTTAATAGTAGCTGTTGCCTGCTGTGAGCCTTGGAGGATAATGATCCACTTCTGGGTGTGTTTCTGTTTAATGACAGGATTGCTGTGTAGGCCTCCACTGGGTGTCCTGGCCAGTCCCAGCTATTGCATCACAATCTCTCCCAGGGAGCATCTTGGGGCTAAACCTGTGAAACTTTGATGTGCATGTACATGTGCATGTGTAAATGTTTTGCTTCCACAAAGCTTTTAAAACAAGTGGGGTAGGCATGTACCTTCAGATGTTGTAGAACTTGCATCATCGCTCACCGTTGTCCATGCTCACCATGAGAGCCAGTGTGGCGTAGTGGTGCTGGACTATGACCCAGGAGACCGGGGTTCAAATTCTCACTCAGCCATGAAGCTCACCAGCTGTGATCGTGGGCCGGTCATGAGCTCCTAGCCTAACCTACCTCACAGGACTGTTGTGAAGATACCACGGTGGTGGTGGAGAACTGTGTATGCCACCTTGAGCTCCTTAGAGGAACGTTGGGATAGAAATGTAAAAATAAATAAAACATGGCTGATGGGAATTGGGAGTCCCTCAGACCTGCTTCTCCATCCTTGCTTTAAAACATGCTGTTGTCATCTCCTTGATACCCTCCTCCTCTTCTTCATTTGCCTTTATTCTGCATGCTGTTGTGGTAAAAGAACCAGAATGGGTGTGTATCTTGAGTCTTATGACTCTGTTCCATTGGAGTAACTGATTCTTGGAATGGACTGGGTCCCTTAAAATAAAGAGGCACCTTTCAGTAAAGGCAGAAAGAACAGATTTGAGACTGAGCTGCTGCTCCATATAGAAGACTCTGCCTAAAGCTAATCGTTGCAGAAGCAAAATGAGAGCCCTGTTCTTTTGTAGCACCCTTGGAGAGCCTTGCCCTGAATAAGGTCAGCACTTGCATCATAAGGACACAAGAGAAGTCTGCTGGATCAGGCCCATCTCTTCCAGCATCCTCTTCTCACAGTGGCCAACCAGATGCCTGTGGGAAGCCTGCAGGCCGGACATGAGCACAACGGTACTCTGCCCTCCTGTAGTTCCCAGCAACTGGTATTCACAGGCACAGTGCCTCCAACAGTGGGGGTTGAACATAGCCATGGTGGCTCATAGCCATCGATAGCCTTCTCCTACATGTATCTGCCCAATCCTCTTTTAAAGCCATCTAAGTTTGTGGCCATCATTGCTTCTCATGGGGGTGAATTCCATGGTTTAGCTCTGCGCTGTGTGAAGGACTTTCTTTTATGTGCCCTGAATCTTCCAGCATTCAGCTTCATTGGATATCTATCAACGCTAACCTCCCCTGTATTGAGTGGGGAAGGTCTGTTTTGGGCTTTCCTTGAGTTTGCTTGAATGCAAGTAGAACCCTCCATCATATGGGAGATCCATGATAAAGCTGGGCTGCCAGTCCCATGGCGGAGTCTGCTTGCATTCAGCCACAGTGAGTAAAAAGTCCTCACAGACCTTCCCTGTGCAACACATGGAAAAGTCTATGACTGATGGGGGGCTGAGGGTGTGAGGGCTGTGCATGTGTCCCTGCCCCTCTCCACACTTGGAACATTTTCATGCATTGCAGGAGAGCTGTGTTTAGAAATTATTTGTTGCCGTGTAGGTGCAAGGAGAGCGGGGAAGGTGTTGTGCAAACTGGGCACCAGACTCAAGGAGGCCAACAAAGCCTTCATGTACATGCCCATCTCGGCTTAAGCCCATGTGTGATTCCACACTCAACCCCTTCCCAAATTTAAGATATATTCATAGAATTGTGGAGTTGGAAGGGACCACGAGTGTCATCTAGCCCAACCTCCTGCAAGGCAACCTTCTTTTGTCCAACATGGGGCTCAAACCCACAACCCTGTTTTAAGAGTCTCAAGCTTTACTGACTGAGCTATTCTATATTGCTGCCTCCTGTGTTCTTACTGGCTTTAAAAGAGCCTTAGAAAAAATTGTGACTACCTGCCATGGTGGCTGCGTTCTAGCTCTGCTGTCAGGGGCAGGATGCTGGGAATAGCAAGTGGGTCCTCAGGGTCTGCTTGTGAGCTTTCCATAAGCATCCGGTTGGCTACTGTGATTATGCTGGTCCAGATAAGCCTTTGGCCGAATCCAGCAGGACTCTTCTTGCGTTCTCAGATGGCCCGATAACAGTGGTGGCAAAACTATGGCATGCGTGCCAGAGGGGACACTCAGAGCCCTCTCTGTGGGCTCATGTGCCGTTGCCCCAGCTCAGAGCCAGCAGAAGGTGAGGGCGGCGTGTCGGGTTCTCAGCTTAACTTGGGCAGCCGGAGAGCCATGTGAGTGGCAGGTCGGTGCAGGAAACTGCGAGGCCGGAGCAGGATGCAAGGTTGAGGCTCTACACACCCTCTGGCCAGGGCCAATGAAAGGTGCCAGGCAGGGGAGCATGGCATTGTTGGTTCCAGCACCAGGTAGCCAGACAGAGCTGCCTCCGCCCCATCCTCGTCGCCCCTCATCCGGCACTGTGGCTCCGGACCCCACCAGCCCCGCCGCGCCATGGTCGTCTCCCACTTGCTGAGGTATTTCTTCACCGAACTCAACCACAGCCAAGTGCAGTGGTACACCCTGTGCTAGCACGTGGGGCAGCCCCCAGGGCCTTTGCAGGGGACGGCACGATGGGAGGGGGGGTGCCTCTCTGCATGCGCTCACAGGGCCATGCCAAGAACACTTGCTTGCCCAGGCTGGAGTTTAAAAGCAGTGAATTCCCGTTGACATGAAGATCTTGTGAAAATCAAAATGAATTCCTTGCCAAATAATTTTAAATCAGTGAAAGTGCTTGGGATTGTTTCATTGTATAATTGAAAGCTTTGTTATTCTGTTTCTCTTTTAAGACAAAAGATGTTAATGTATGAGTTGTTTTTTCTAAACTAAAACCTCAGTATTCAGGTTAAATTGCTGTGTTGGCTCTTTGGGTTGCAGTTTGGACACTCGGTCTCTAAAAGGTTCTCCATCACTGCCCTATAAGGACCTTCTCGGTGGCTGCTCCTAGATTATGGAGCACCTTGCCTCGTGTTCTCTTCCCCTCCCTCCCTCCCAAGTTTTTTGCTGGCCACAAAGGACACTTTTATTCTGGTAGATTTTTGTAGCATGTGGCACATCAGGTTTTTATGTTCAGGTCCTGATACTGCCTACTTGGCTGCTTTGTTTTATATCAGTGGTAGTGGTGTGTTTGTATGTTTTAATAAAACTGCAACTCAACTGTTGCAAGCTGCCCTGAGTGGTTGCTTTGCCATGAGGAGAGCAGGACAGAAATGTTTTAAGGAAGAAATATAGTAAAATAGCCAGCTCAGTGGAGGGAGGAAGATCTGCTGATGGTTGTATTCAACGTCCAGGTTCAGAAGCCTCTTAGTACCAGCTGCCGTGAACCAGCAAAAGGAGAAGGATGTTTCCTTCAGACCTTCCTG